ATCAAGCCATGGTAAACTGCCAAAGCTTATGTTGTAGTGTAGCACCAGGGTTCAGCCTTCTCCTTGCCGAGTTGCATCGCCTGCATCATGTTCAATTGGAAAGTCTAGCAAAGGCGCTTCCATCTCCTAGTTCAGGGTCTGAGCAAACAAAGAAGAATCCTGCACAATCAGAGCCATAAGATCCCACCCAGAGACTGGAAGAGTAGGAGGCACCCATCGAAGGAGTCTTCCCTCCATTGATTCAATGACAAAATAGCTCTATTGAGAGGGGCACCCCTCTGGAATGTGGCTCGCTCCTAGTTTTTTATTAAAATCTTATCACCTTGCTCATAACCTTGTGTAATAACCCTGCTAGTTTTGGTTTTAATTTGTTTGGAATTTAACTTATATGTACTACATTATAAGGTTTACAACCTTGTGATTTTAGCTAGTAAAGCTTAGTACAAATGAGACTAGATGTCCATTCGCTGCTTGTGGATACGATATAAGGCCTCCTCTGGAACAAAGGATTTTCATAGGTAAAACATAGGATTCTCCATCCTAAAGGATATGTTACTGTAGCACCTTTGGAACCTAGGATTGTGCCATAGGAAAAATACAGAAAAAAATCCTTTGGGTGTGGTTTCACAAGAATTTTGTAGGATTCAAAACACCCACTCCAAGCTCATGTTTTTCATTCCCGTGTTCTTCCTATGAACCATCCACACATCAACTCCTATGATTTTCCTTTGTTTTACAATCCTCTATTTTGCATATGCAATCCTATCATATTTCTTTATTTATTTTTTATTCATGTGTTTTTCCAATCCCGCGTTCCAAAAGAGCCTTAAACATCAACAGTGACTACTAATTAAACGACAAAAGCTACAATAATTATACTATGTGCCTGAAGTTTCATGATTCACATTCACAAGAGAAGAACAAGGAGCCGCAACCATATAATTTTCACAAATGCCCGCAGTACGTACATGTCTATGAAATGGGAGCTACAGGCCTACGACGTACAGTAGATGCACGCAGCCTACCACTCCAAATCCATCACCCTTCCGCCTTTGCATTCCCCCGGCCGGGGGCCAGGCCAATGCAAGGCCGCTTTGCCTTTGGCCTCTTGGTATCTCCGTATAAGCAGCACTGTAGCAGTAGGCGTAGACCCCTCAATCACCGGCACCAAGTTCGTCTCCCTTTGGCCTTCTACGGCTCTACCTATGCGCCCAGGACATGCATGGTCCCTAGCTCGTTGCAGGAAAGCAAGCAAAGCAAAGGTCGGTGACTCCATTGATTGCCACGCATGTCAGGGGCCGTCTGGTGGCTATCCCATATGCCGGTGCTGCACGGCCCTGCTTGTTACAACCCCCTCCTTTACTTCGCTCACAAGAACGCCATGACTTTCCTGGCTCGCGGTGCCTATCTGTCTAGTGCTGTTGCAACGGATCAGGGGCGGATACAAGTCCTAACTTGGAGGAGGGGGGCTCTGCTAAAAACCAGCAAGGTGTTGGCGTGGGTGTGCCTAGCAAATAGAGCCTCTCAATCAAAGGAGGAGTAAAGGTTAAGTGGTGCTTACTAATAAAGATTACCTTGCTGTCTCTGAGAACCCAGCACGTCTAGATATTTCCTCCTCTTCGGATGCAACAGGTAGCTCAGATCTACACAACCCCACCCCACAAGCCCACACCTTCTGCTCTAAGGCCTTGGGTTAGTTGCTCTTCCAAAAATTTACATCATGTCCCATTAAATATTTGGACATATGCATGGAGTATTAAATATAGATTAAAAATAACTAATTACACATATTGCGACTACTTTGCGAGACGAATCTTTTAAACCTAATTAGCCCATGATTTGATAATAAAGTGCTACAGCAACACATGTGCTAATGATGGCTTACTTAGTCTTAATAGATTCGTCTCACGGCTCTGTAATTTATTTTTTTATTAGTATCTAAACACCATATACGACACCCTATGTAATATCCGATACCACACCCTAAAACTTTAACTCATGTAACTAAACAAGCCTAACGCCTTGTTTAGTTGCTACCCAATTTCCAAAAAGTTGCTACAGTACCTGTCACATCGAATGTTTGCGGCTCATGCATGGAGCATTAAATCAGACGAAAAGAAAAACTAAACAAGGTGGGAAATTGCAGAGACTAACGTTTTAAGCCTAATTAGTCAATGTTTGACACTATTTGGGAGTGAACTAAACAAGCCTAAGCTTGCATGGATGTGAGGGAGTGCAGCAAGCACAAAGCACAAGGAAAGACGCATCTAGGAGTTCCCTGAATAAAAAAAAAAAGCAGCAAGAGGCTAGTACTATTCCTCCTTGGACCATAATGGTGGCACAACATCACATCACAGTGGACCTCCTACAAGTAACAATGTCTTTGCTTTGGATTTCCTTCTTGGGTACATTTCCTAACCACATTTTGGTGACAAGCTAGTGCCTAGCTATGTAAAGAATAGTATGTTCTCTTTCTATAGAACTATAAATGGTCGGTAACATTTTCCTTTGTCCCCACACACATTAGACTAGGACGACATGTTTATCCGACCGGTGAGAGCAAACCATGGGAAGGGGGCTACTACTTACCATCATCAATTTTCTAAAATTTAACGAAGTTATGTTTTCAGTGATAGTTGACGTTTTCATAGACAGTGAGGCATCTATAGTGATTTTGTCGATCTCGAAGATTTATCTGTCTAGTCTTCGAAGATGCTCATAGGGATAAGGTTTGCATGCGTGCGTTCATGGAGGTGGGTGTGCGTGTGTTGTAAGTATCTGTATTGCACTGTGTAATTCGAAGAAGAAAAACTAGTACCTGCGGGAGCAAATTACTCCCGTGACACTACATTCACATTCAACCTAGCCTTCCACTGGTTCAAGAAGATCATCATCTTGTGAACAGCTGTGGATCCACACTGTACCTGCATAAATAAAAAGCTCAACTCGTCTTAGTTATCTCCCAGTCTCTCTGATCCTCTCAAAACCTAAAACTGCCCAAAGAAACACAACAATGGGACAGATTAATAACATGTGATTCCTGGTTTCTGCTTTTATTTGTCACCATTTACAGTTCCCCTGCCCCGACCATTCCGACACCTGAGCTGCAGGGCAAAATTAATGGTGCCATGGAAAAACATCCATATAAAAGATTTTGACTTGAGGTGGCAAACTTTATTGTACTATTTTCAAGACTATTTTTTTTGCGGGGTAAAAGAGGGATTTTATTTAACCAAGCGGAGAATTACATTCATTGTTGATGAGATCAACAATGCACAATGCACTAGTAATTAAGCTATAGCTTTGCCGAGAAGAAATGTGATTCCCTATGGCCTTGTTTAGTTGGCAAAATTTTTTTGAAGATGGTATTGTAGCACTTTCGTTGTTATTTGACAATTAGTGTCTAATCATAGTCTAATTAGGCTTAAAAGATTCGTCTCGTGAATTTTGTCTAAACTGTGTAATTAGTTTTATTTTTTATTTATATTTAATGCTTCATGCATGCGTCCAAAGATTCGATATGACGGGGAATCTTGAAAAATTTTACAAAATTTTGGGAACTAAACAGGCACTAAATTAATACTCCCTCCATTTCAAATTATAAATCGCTTTAACTTTTTTATCTAGACACATAGCAAAATGGATGAACCAAAAAACTTATAATTTGGAACGGAGGGAGTATTACAGAACAAGTTTTACTAAACATCCAAAGAATCCGGTAGCCAACACAAGGCAGGCAATCAGGTGGGGAAGGAAGCTAAAGATGTTGATTTGCAAGCCAAACACACACCTTTGCTCAGGGTGCTTGCTTAAGCTAGATCTGTGGTCCGCCAAGGCCATAACAGGGACGATGGTACTACGCAGCAGGCATCTGTAGTTGAATTCAATTGGATCCATGATTTGTGCACTCAGAGTCCCGTACTAATCGCACGCGTAACAGCTGGCTGGTAATGGATTGACGTCGCCGGCCGGGACGGCGCCAACAGACCGGGACCTACGCCCCGGGACAGCGACGCCCCGACAGCTCCCGGTACTAGAAGCAATCCACCACACTGCCCATCGTCTCGTCGTCATGTAGGAGTATCATTCACCCATCAAGCACGACGACAGCACAGTTAGTTTATCAAGATCGATGAGCCCGGCCCGACCCGGTTTCTCCAGATTCATTCATCAGTCACATGAAAAAGGCATCACTATGTTTTTAGATGGTACAGTAATTAATTAACAATGGAGGCTTTAATTAATTCTTCCTTATCGGCAAAAATAGTAGTACATGGTATACATGGTACAAGGTACATGCTGCCGCTAAGCAGGAGCTCAATTAGGAAATACTACATTGAGAAAAATACAGAGCACTCGTCGATCTTAAAGGCAAATAGCAGAATGAACGCTGCAATGCGAGTAAACATCAACTCAAGACGACGTACGACGTTCTGGAATCGCTCGCGGAAATTAGAAGTTCCAGGCCTGCTTGCCGGAAACGTCACCGGAGGCGCCGGCGGAGTCGTCTTCTCCGATCTTGGATCGCCGCCATGATCGCCTCCCACGCTACGCCTCCGCACACACGCACAGAAACAGAGACACTATGTACATCTAGATAGCTCATATACATGCATGGTCGCCTCTCGCCTCCCATGTCTTCTTGATCCATTTCCTCCATGTTTTGCTGGCACCTCTTGTCTCCTTCTAGGCTTTCTACCTTCACTTCACTGACATGCCATCTTCTGAAACCCCAGAACAAACCAACCCTTCCCTGCTGCCTCCCCTCCCTTCAACAACCATCCAAGAATATTCACACAGGGAGGAACATACGTATGTAGAAGGATCAGGAGAATCTTACTAGAAATCTAAAAAAAAAAAACTTTTTTTTCTGAACTTTCTTCTCCTGTTGTGCAGTGATGCCTCCGAGGCTCCAACTCCAAGCTTCCCCCACGCACTTACCATGGATATGCCCCGTTCAGAGGAGGCACGGTTGACGCTGATAGTTTCATGAGTTTACCTCAATTGATGAGGTCGGAGACCCAGCCGACATCCGGGGCCGCTCCCTCAACGTTGGCGGAGGCGGCGGCGGTGTCGTTGGACACGGTGGCATCTTTGCTGAGCCGCTCGAACACCTTCTCGCGGAGGGCTCTCCCGGACTCGACCCTCTCCATGACCGGCTCCTCGTCCCCGCTGAGTCCGAGGTTGAGGCGTTCCACGGTCATGATGGTGGCGCCGGAGGCGGTGGTCACCGTCACCGGGGACGGCCGGGTCGGCGTGGACGGGAGACTGTACAGCCCCGCCGCCGGTGACTTTGGGGACCCGAACGGGTAGCCGCCGCCGCCGGCCAAGAACGACCCGCCGCCGGAAGGCGCCGACCTCGGCGAGCCTCCGCCGCCGGCGGCGAGGCGGAGCTGGCGCAGCGAGGCGAGGACCTCGTTGACGGGCGAGCCGACGCCCGGCCACGACCCGCGGCGGAGCGCGGCGGCGTCGGGCGACATTGGCGGGGACGACTCCGACGGCGGCGACCTCGGCGGCGAGACGAGCGTGCTGGTCGGGGACGACGACATGATCATGCCGCTCTTGCTGAAGTAGCTCTCGAACGCCTGCCGGCGGAGCGGCGAGCCGTCGTACGACTCGGCCAGCGGCGACGCCGCCGCGCCCCTCGGGCTGGCGCTGGACTGCTGCGGCGGCAGCACGCGGAGCTGGTCCGGCGTGTGCGCGAAGAAGCAGACGCGGCGGCGGCACCCGGTGCCGTCCTTGCAGGGCTGCGTCCGGTAGCGGGACGGGTGGAGCCAGCACTCGAACACCCCGTGCGCGAGCTCGCACGCGTCGCCGCGCTTGCACCCGCCCCTGCGGAAGTCCGGGCACGCGGCGCCGGAGTAGTGGTACCGCCTCGGGTCGCGCCGCCGGGCCTTCTCCCCCGGGTGCGCGTAGGGGCAGTCCATCCAGTCGTGGCTCCGCCCGCGCGAGCACAGCCGCACCTTGAACTCGTACATCCGGAACTTGTCGCAGGCGTACGCGTCGACGGCCGCCAGGGCCGCCGCCTCCTCGTCGTCCTCCGCCGCCGCCACCTCGTTCGACGGCAGGTAATGCTGCAGCGCCGCCAGGAGGGCGTACGGCGACGCCGCCTCGTCCGCGTCCATCATGCTGCCGCCGCTGCTCACCGGCGACTGCTGCCACGGCGGTGCGTGCGCTCCCTCTCCCATCATCATCATGGTCGTTTCGTTTCTTGGAACGTCGGTCGGTGACGGTAACTTTTGCTTTGCTGCTTTGTTGGCCTGTGGCTACGATCTCGTGCTCTAGTGGAAGCTTTCTTTGGCTTCGAGGCGCTTCGCCGTGGACGGGGAAGAGAGGGTGGAAGGGGAGGCTGGTTTATAAACAGGCCGTCTAACCGTGGTTATCCTTGGGGCTCTTCTATCTAACCGTGGTTAATGTAACCGCGATTAACTGACGGGAGCCAGGTGTACGTGTGTTGAGGGAGCGGCAAACTGACGCCGTCTCGCTTTGGTGGCCTTATCCTAGGCTAGTGGGGCCTTGTTTAGATACCCTCAAAATTTCAAGTTTTTTCACTTTTTCTCTATCATATTAATTTTTAGCCTTTTGTATGGAGCATTCAATATAGGTAAAAAAAATAATTGATTGCACAGTTTAATTAGAAATCACAAGATAAATATTTTGAGTTTAGTTGATCCACGATTGGACAATATTTACCAAATAAGACGAAAGTGCTACTATTTATCGGGTGAAATTTTTTTCAATCTAAACCTGGGGAGCGTATCTGACACGTGAGGCCGCCTGTACGTGGGCCCACGTGTCGGTTCGTAGTGGCGACGGGCAGGCAGGACACGTGGAGCGTGGGGAGCGGCTGTGCGGGGCATGCGCTTGGCGAGGTGGTGGTCCGTGGGCGCAACCGGTCCGGACACCACGTGGCCTCTGCTCTGGGGCGTTGCGCCGCCTACGGATTCGCTAGAGACCGAAGATCAAATTGCTATGTGCACCGCGGAGTCCAACTTACCAATGATTTTAAGCCTGTTCGCTGGGGTTTTTAAGCTGACAAGGGTGTGTTTAGTTGGGGACTAATTTTTTTTGTGTAACATTGGATGTGTTGGAAGAATGTCGGGAGGGGTTTTTTATACTAATAAAAAAATAAATTACAGAATCCATCAGGAAACTGCGAGACGAATCTAATGATACTAATTAATCGGTCATTAGCATATGTGGGTTACTGTAGCACTTAAGGCTTTTCATTGACTAATTAGGCTTAAAAGATTCGTCTCGCGATTTTGTCGAGAACTGTGCAATTAGTTTTTTTCGCCTACATTTAGTACTTCATGCATGTGTCTAAACATGCTCTTTTACTGTAGGAGGCAAAAAAATTTGGAAACTAAATAGGGCCTAAGCCCGACTGGTGCTGGTTTGTTGTGAGAAGAAAATATTATTGGCTGGCTAATAAGCCCTGGCTGAAACCAACAAGCGAATAGACTGTTTGTTCACAAATATAAAGGAGCAATGCTTGTACTCCTGTCCCAAACAAGTATCGTTCTCATTTATCGAGGAGTCAAACGCTTTTAACTTTAATCTAATATTTATAGTGCATAATTAGGATCATTAGATAGATCGTTGAATCTATTTTCATATTAAACTTATTTAAAGATACAAATTTTCTATAAACATAGTCAAATTTAAGAAAGTCTGACCGGCACAAATACTGTAACGACACTTATTTTAGGACACAGGGAATAGGCCGGTGCAGTAGTACAATTCATGAAAACAATCGAAACATCACACAAAGGAGCAATGCTGGTAGGTTGTAGCATAATTTAAAGAAAAAACGAAATATCACAAGTCAGATAGGAAGAATGTACCCCTCTCTCCATATTTCTATAGTATAGGTGCTCTTATTTGTAGTAGTTTTAAGTATTTTAATAAATCATGGTGTAGACAAAATCATTCACATATATACATATGCATTCACTCATATAAATACACTACACACATTGTACCCTTATAAGCATCTGCGAAACTAACAATTATCCTTACAATATGTGTAAACTTCATTGTACAAAAGGCAATATTATTAGATTTTGTATTTAGAGTATGGTCATGATTAGTATGTTCCAAGAATAATGTACCAACCTTGTTTCACAATATTTGACACTTTTGAATTTACTATTTATTGGTTGACCCCTTGTCTTTTCTGTGAATATTTATACAAATAGCAAACAAAATATGACACACCTGAAGTACTTTAATAACAAATCCAGTGATACATTCACACTTTACTTAAGTAAATATTTAAAAAGATATTGTTAGTCAAATCATGAACAGTAGGGGAAAAAACAGAGCTGCTGATTATTTTAGTGGAGGTCATTAGTATAATATAAGAGGAATATAGCACGAAATATACTACCGTGACAAGTTAAAAGAAAATCGGTGTCAAGTTAAGTTGTTGATTGGTTGGCTTTCAAAATTTGCCATGCCAAAGATTGGCAAGCCATGATTTTAGCTAGTTTTTTGGTTTGGTACCAAGACTTGTCAAACTCTCACATTTAGCTTGCGAAATTTATGACAACTTTTATTGTTCAACTTTTAGCTTACTTTGGCATGGTAAATTGGAAGTCAATCTAGCATGCCCTAAATCCTAGACGTTACGGCTACCTCACTTCTAAAGACACGCAGGCCAGGCCCTCAATGGGCCCTTGTCTTCGCTTTTCGGTCTGTGATCGTGGGCCTAGTGCAGGTTGTGGTGCTCGCAGTCGCAGGGTTTCCGGCAAAACGCATGAACGGCAGCAGGGTGCAGCCGTGGCGGGCGCGTTGCGCCGCGGCGCGCGCGTGTCCGTGCCCGCCCGGGGCTACCCGTACGTGTGTGTGGTGAGGGGCAGCGTACGTGGGTGCGTGCGTCTGCGCATGGTGCCTGCCGATTGTGGTGGCAGCAGCGAGGTCGTCCGTCGCCGGCTCCTCCTGGCCTCCTCCCCGAGTCGCGGCATGTGCATGCTCGTGATGAGCACAACATGCATGGACGGAGACGGTAGCTCACCGTCGGGCTTTGGGACGTCGGGATAGCGGTGCCATGGGAGCCTGGGAGGGGCCGAATGCCGTGCAGTGCCAAGCACAAACCAGATCGAGGTGGAATAATGCTGTCAACGTCATTTGAGATGAGCATGTATACGTGCTGCTTCTGAATTCTATTCACTTAGACATTTTAGACATCGACACATACTTGATAATTACTAATCCGTACTTTTGTGACCAACTATATATAATTAAATAAAACACACACGGAAACAATTGTTCAAGAAGTTATGGCTAATTGCACTTATACATAGATGGCTTTTGAGTATTGCTAGTCAGAATTTTAAAGTCCTGAGATTTATAAGCATTCTAGACATCATAGTAGAAAGAAACAAAACTCTGAGTTTGAGAATTTCCCCGCAGTTTTATCTAGTTGCCTAGAGTGTAGTCCAAATAAATCTTCCGATGAAGTCAAATGATTTTCTGTCAGGATCGTGTGTCCTGCGATGACTTCAGTGATTGCCACGACGAGATCGCCGTTGCAGGTGTAGACTTCATCGGCAGGTGGCCAATTTATGACCTTTATCAGTAAGGGGAGGGATGTTTCTGGGACCTCCAACGAAGATAGCTACTCCTCGTCATCGATCTCATCGTCGATGGTTACGGAGAGAAAATCAAGGTCTCAAGGTAATGACTCTGCATCCTATGTCGTACCAGACGACGCAACTGCCGATATTCTTTCAGCGATTTAGATGTGTTTTAGGCTAGTTCCAAAACATCGGATCTTGTAGCATGTTCAATGTTTTCAGGTTGATCGTTGGATTCAGCATAAGGACTACAATTTGACTCCGGCGTTCGAGGAAAGCCATTGGGGGAAGAAGGCGACGGAAGAATAGAATATTGTGTATTTTTTATTTTAGATTTTTAATGTGTAATTTACGGATGTACTGTGCCTAGATCTAATATAAGTCCTCCTTCACTTGAAGAAAAAATGTCGCTCCTATTCTGTTACGTGTATCTCATTATATCTCAAGAATTAGATAAACACCGTCTACCTAACTAATATAGGTTACTTGAGGTGGTTTCCAACTTCAGATGATGACGGTCGACGACGGCGCTCTATCTATACTGTTGTTTTTCCTAGGAATGGAAACGTTTCAAACTCGTCGACCTGCTCACGTGAATCCAGTTGTACATTGTCCCATCATCACAAGAGCTTTGAAGCTGCATGTACCTGTAACTTGATTGCTGTCTCGTCTTATCTAGAAAGGTTTGTCATTAATTTAAATGGTAAGCTAAATGGCGAGGACTCTATTTAATGCGATTCCCGAACTTTCCATAAATGAAAATATAAAATCCCCACTATTCTTTTCTTAAAATGGTTTAATAGCTTATGCAAACTTTCCTAAGATAGAAACACTTGATCCCATCATTTTCCAAAAAAAGAAAAGTCGATTTATTTAATTTTCCCCTAATAGAAAACGTAATTTTGTAGTATGAGCATGTTATAAAAAGGTACTTTGTAATTCAAGAAGTAACATGAGAAGTAACTTTATAGTTTGAATGTTGGAAAATGTAATTTTGTAGCTCGTGAATCTATGTTACGAGTAGAATAGGTTACTTTGCGATCTTCAAAATATACCTTATGAATTATGATCAGCAAGGATTTTGATTAGGATTCAGCAATGGTTACGATTAGGCATTGCATATGGCTGTGATTAGGGCTATAACTATGGGTTTTGATGACAATTCACCACACGGGCTATGGTTAATTGTGAACTGGGTTCTAATTGGAAATCAACTGGTGTTGAGATTAGAAGACACTTAGGAGTCATGAGTAGGTTAGTGGAGGTTTTTATTAGGAGTTGGCAGGGGGTGTAATTAGGGGCCAGCAAGGGCTGCAAATGCATTGAGGTTAGGGTTATGTGGTTTTGACTGTTTTTGTCACCACAAACCCTTTATAGTTGGCCCATGTGATTGGGGCTTAGTAGGTACTGTGGTTAGGGCGGGTCCACTAGGATTGTAATTAGAGCTCGAACTAGGATGTGACTAGAAACACAGCCGCGCCTTCCTTGGACCTGTCGATGTATACAAATTTGTTACAATAAATATACCCTGTGCCCATTATTCAATTTGTTTGATGGAGCAATGGTTTGATCTATGAAGCACTATGAATGAGCACTGTTGGCCAGAACCCTACAGT